CACATTCAGTCGGACCACACACGCAGAACTTTTCAGGGTGCCCCTCATCGACACCTACGGGAATAGGAAAATCCTGGCGTACATGAATGCGGGACGTGCGGCAGAACAAACAAACATGATCGATCGACCTACTTACATATATATACGTTCTTGAAACGGCCGGAGGGACACAGACACTATATGTACACACCTCTTAGTTTTCGATTGATGGACGACGAGCAAATGGTGGTAATAGAAAAAACTATAGCTCCAACCGCCAACGAACAATTAGTGTCAGCATTCCATCCCTCCCTCCCTGCCGTGGCAGAACAGACACCGCCAGACCAAACGACCCCCGTCGGTACACCCACCCACCTCCTCCCCCTGCCTCAGCATCCCCTCCGCGTCCACCCCGAACTTAGCGGCGGCGGCGGCGGCCTGAGCGGCTTTAGCCTCGAGCCCCCGCTTGGCCGTCCTGAGCTTGTCGACCTCGAACATCAGGTCCGATTCCCGGGCCTGCGCCTCTACCAGAGCCGACTCCGCACGGAGCCTAGCCTGATTAAAAGAGAAGTTTACGATTTTACTTATGTCAATGCCGAATAATAAAACGTGTACCACTTCATAACAAAAAGTATTTTCTCACAAAACTTCACAACGAAAAACATACAGACTGTACTCATCAGAGTATATACTAAAAACCTTAGTTATTGAAATGGCAACAAAAATGACAAATACTACAGCAACACAGCAGTTCCAAACCATGTTACAGCAAGTGTCGAACGGAAACAGCTACACGTTTCTTCGCATCCAGAAACCCCCCCCCACCCCTCACCCGCGTGTGAGAACTCGAAACCGCAAGGTGTTGAGGCTCAGGTTGTCAAGAAACAAACAAGCCTAACCCAACAACAAAAACAAACAGAACACAGAATACCGTTGATAAAAAATAGCCGTTGCAGACACCTGTACAGCTGTTGCCGTCGCCTGGGGGCTGCCCGAACCACTCCCACCCGCGCCGCCCATTTGGTTGGTGAGCCGGTTCAACTCCTTGTTCAGCCGTTCCCTGTCCCGGTACAGGGACACGCGCTCCTCCTCGTAAAGCATCTTCTCCTGCGCGACAGACAAACAACCAACCAACCAAGGCGACCACGGCAGACGGGGTAGGGGGGTGGGGGGGTCACTCATGACCATCTGTGAGCTAGGCTTTCGACCGCGATAAAACAAGCGAAAGGCCATTGCGGCGGCAGAAGGGAGGGGGTCGGGGGCCACTCATGGCCACCCGTGTGCCGGATTTTCGACCGCGATGAATCGAAAGGCGACTGCGGCGAAAGGGGTGGGGGTGGAAGGGTAGTCATAACCGTCTGTGCGCTGTTTATTACTATAACACTATAAATAGGTAGGCGACTGCGCCAGAAGGAAGCGGGTGGGGGGGTCACTCACGACCATATGTGCGCTAGATCTTCGACCGCGATAAACGAACGAGAGGCGGCCGCGGCAGAGGGGGAGGGGGTGAAGGGGGG